AATATCCCACCATATGTATAAATACGCGTGGCACTCGTCGCCAGTCACGTCCTTTCTTCGTTTCTTCGAGTAGGTAGACTATAGGTTTAATCGCATAGGTGGTGTCATGGGGGGAGATGCTTAAGGTGGGCTTGGCCTCCTCAAAATTGCTTGATTCCACGTTTGGCTAGTGTTTTTGTTTTATGGTAAGTATCATATTGTAATGTCGAAACAAATAAAATATACAATTTAAAGTTAATTTAGAACTTATGGTGTAGAGGTGTACCTTTCTATACATTGACCCTTAGAATTCCTAACTAGCAAAAAATGCCAAAGAGAAAATAAGTACGATATTATGAATTATGGTCTAAATAATAATATACATTCAGAGCAGCCAGACTTGGGTAAAATATCTACTTTTAAAAAGTACTTGGAATAAATACTAGAATTCTTATGAAAAATGGTATTCGAATACTTCATACAAACAGTATTCCAAATACCTATTTAAAAAATACTTTTTAGTTTTTGTTTTCAATATTAAACCGACGAAACTTTCTTCGAAAATTTTTGAAATAATCGCCAACATAATATACAATTTAATAATTCTAAATATAACATAATTTAAGTTGTTGATATTTCATTTAAAATTTTAAAATATATATAATATTGTAAACATTTCCAGAAAAAAACAAGAAAAAATAATTATTGTAAATAAAATGTATTTTTAAAAAAATATTTTAAATAGTTTTTCTGAATTATTTTGGGGAAAAGAATTATAAAAATATTCCGATTACAGTATTCAGGATTACTACCCATGAATGCCAGCAGGCTACAGCCGGTATATTATACTGTATGTCTGTATAGTGTATTATATTGTAATAATTTAGTTTCCATACTATCTGGTATAACTGTATAAGTAATCTATTCTATTACCAAATTATAATAATATAATGCACACTGCTTATAACGAGTTATAATCCATAATGAATTATGGCCCATAAATTTCAACAATTAACACCGAGATTGGCGATTAGGTGCTGCAGAAATAACTGAACCGCTCTGAAATCGAGAAAATATCATTACAATCGCCCACGTTGTGATTAGATATCTAAAGCCATCACCCGCCGACGTTCGGGGAGGGGGTTACGGGCGGCGACAGATTGATAAGGTTTGCGACGGGGCCGCAGCTGATAAGCGTCGTTGCGGTGCCGCGACGATGGTGCGGCGGTGCCGGGAAGGGTCGACGAGTAGACCTTATTATTATTATTATTATTACTATTTACTACCGGCGTCGGCGTCGCTCGTCCGTCCGCCGAATAGTGCCGGTGACAAAAACGGCGCTGTGCTCGATCGGCGGCGTGTGAAATTTTCGAACGCGGAAAATACGCCGAGGTCGGTACTAGCGGTCTCTGACGGTAATACCGCGTCTTCCCCGTACTCGTGCAGTCGTCCGGCCGTTCGCGGTTCGCCCCACCTAGTACCTACATCATTTTAAGCCCGCTCGTCCGTCCGCTCGTTCGTCCGTTTCTCGTTTTTCTTTTTCTTTTTTTTTTTTTTATTGCTAAGGGTAAAGAACTCGCTAACTAACTAACTAATGTACACATAAGATAAAAATTATTAATATCAGTGTCATTAAAGTGTCCGTTATTTAGAGTGTCCTGTATTTAGAGGTTTTCCTATACATAAATAGTGAAAATGTCCCTGTCCCCGAAAAAACGTCCGCTATTTAGAGGTGTCCATTAAGGGAGGTTTCACTGTATATTAATTATTTTTTTAGCTCAAAGATGTTTGAAACAAGTTTTATTTTATATGAACTATTTATTTGATTTTAGGTTGAAAACGGAGATATGGAATCCATGGAAGACTATGAATTGGAGCCCAACAACATTCATCTTTTTTTAAATGATGAAGTTATCAATCAATACATGGATCTTATCACAAAACGTTCACCCAGCACAGTGTACGCATTTAATACATTTTTTTACCTAGCTCTTTCTGACAAAGGGTATTCTCATGTTTGTCGGTGGACAAAAAAAATTGATTTATTCTCAAAAAAAAAATTGTTTATCCCTATTCATATCGAAGATCACTGGTGTTTAGTTTATGTTTGCTTTATACAAAAATCCATTAAATATTATGATAGCATGGGTGGACGTAACTTTGAGTGCTTAAAATTAATATTGAAATATTTGATGATGGAGCATGCTGACAAAAAAGGAGANGTTAACCATCCAGAAGATCCAGTCTGCACACCTCTCCGCAGTAAGTGATCATAAATTATTATCATGCTGTTAGGACAAGTTTTTAATTTACCTAATACTTTGCACCAGTGACGTAACCAAGAAGGGGAGGGGGTTGGGTACCCTCCCCTCAACACTAACACTTTTTCCTCTGCTTTTTCCCCTAGTAAATGTATTATTTATATAGGTACACAAACTGTAAAACTGATTTAATTTATACTTACCCCCCTCCCTCCCCATTTCATACTGATTTTCATAGTTTAATAACAATACTATGTAGGTACTTCTGTCAAGTTTTGATAGGTACCTAGGAGGCTAGATATTAGAATTGAGTATCTCGTGTGACAATTTCACAATTCCACTTAGACAGCTGATATAAAAATATCTAGGTACCTAAATATTATGTTCTATCCCTCCACATGCATCTATTTAAAATAAATAGAGGTGTGTATTTTAGTTTGAAATTAATTTTATATAGACACAATAGGTCATGTCTTGAATTAAATTAAGTGTCTAGGTTTTTTAACTGAGACAAGAGCTGACAACTTAAACCAATTTACCTAAGTGGTGTGGTCTGACCATACAGGATATAGATTGATCACTATCTGAGATTACTCTTATATTAAATTGAATAAATCATAATCATAGATATACTAAATAAATTGATTTTAAAGTTGCATAGGTACCTTTTTCTATAAACTTAGTTAGATTCGGTGGGTATTTTGCAGTATTTTTTAATGTTTTTTGTTAGTTTGCCATTCATAATTTTTACATAGGTATATTTTTTTTAGATAGTTACTTCTGTAGGAGTTTTGTACTATATTATTGCCATAGGTACATTTATATAAACAATTACCTATTTATTTTTATAAGTTACCTTTGGATTAAAGCCTAATGAAAAAACATTAGAGAAAATGTTATTTCTTTCCATCAATCTCCAAATATTTGAGCTCAAATTTGTATACATTTTGATTCTTATTATTTTTCTAGCATTTCAGCTACCTATATTATTATTATAAAATTTAATATTTACAAAGTTGTTTTTTTTATTTGTTTACTTTAACACTCAGCTATTCACTATTTAATGTGTTTATCTTTAACCTAACTATCTGCACATTGCATGGTATTGTTTTATAATTTGATGATTAATTATTGAAGTCCTTAGTAGTGTGGATGATTCACATACCCACTTCTTTTAACTTTATTATAATCTCTATTGTAATAGTATTAATTAAATTATGTGTTTTCATACGAGTACCTTTTAAATAACGAGATTTTATAATATTCATTTTATGTGTAGGTATTTTAATTTTCGGTACTTATGGCTTATCGCGATTACCTTGGTGTCAAACGCACGCTGCTATTCATAAGTGATAAAAAAATAGATTTTTTTGTTTGAATCTTTTCTAAAATAGCTTTGCAATGATACAGTTTTTTTCCCTACTATATGTAGGTAGGTAGAGTTTTTGGGCACAATAAAAAAGTTCTTTCATATTTATATTTAAGTGAACATTTACTCAATGGTATCTAGTAGATATTTACTAAATTATATTTATCCAAATGCATTCAGTATTTAAGTATATTTTAGATTAGTAAGAACTAAGAACACACACGTAAACTAGGTAGCTTAAAATTACTCATAGATATAGATTTTATCATAATAATTGGTATAATCATAAGAACAATAAATATTATTTTCTTAAGAATATTAATATTATTGTTTTTATGATTCAATGTTGAATAATTTTTTTTTTATTAGGAAACTATAGTTATCTTGCTAATTATACATGGGTAATTTTTTGTACAGTAAGTAATTTTGTTGATAATGACAAATGATATCAGGGAGTGTAGTAAATTCTTACAAGCATTCAGCAATGCCACCCTTGGATTTCAAAATATAAACAGTTATAGGAGAACTGTTAATAGATGGGTCAGAGGATCATAATTCATAATTCACAAGTCTTTTTGGAAATATTTGTTCTGCGGGGAATTAAGACAATTTGGTATAGGGATGTATAAATTGTGCGTCACTTAAATTGAATATTGTAACCTAACCTTTCACATACTTCCACTATTTTCATTTTTTAAGAAGTTATCAATGGTTAAAATAAGAGAAATGAAGTTAAATTAAAACACGCTTATCTTGATAACAAATTAAAATACTTAAGAACTAATCCGTTCAATTCAAAGAAAATATCCTTTATTAAACTTGTAATAGGTCTCTCCCGTAAACTAAACCAGAGATTCGTAAATCATAGTATTACCGGAATACGAGACGGAATACCTTTGTTGCTATATATAATATAAATATAACGCACGAGATGGATAGAGAAAACAATGTTGGTGTGGCTGTCGCTAAGATTGCCAAGTTATGAATATATAACACATTGAAGTATAAAAATTGCTCACTGAATATAATATAGCTAATACATCGCTAATGAATCACTTAAAACGATAACGCAAAAACCATCACGAAAACATCGATAATGTTCTTACCTTTAAGTGTTAGATCAATTCCGAGATCATTTCATTCTAATATTAAAGCTAACTACACAAAATTGGTTTAACTGAACTCAAATTTTTTTTTTGTACTTTTTTAAGACAGAGACAAAACATGTATGTGTGGCGAGGTAACGTGTTCTCATGCACGTTTTCAAAAAGAAAATGGTATCAAGAAATGTGAAGAGCGATAGGATTTAATATCGTATTGACCCCGTATTTGACGTAATTTCGTCTAATGTATTTAACGAGTTTTTAATAACTAGTAGGCACTTCATTATGTATTCATGTCCCATAGGACGTAGTAGTTGCTTATACAACAACGGCGATACTTCTTTCGTAAGTAGCTCGTCTGCAGGAGGGAACTACTGTCTCAATAAGGTTTAGTGGGAATAAGATAATGATTGCTACTCTTCAAAACACATACTACGCTGTTTAAATTGTTACTGTTCTATAAGGTTTATAAAACAATGTCTAACAATAACGGTATGTCGAAGAACTGTATAATATATTGACTTTCGATCTGTAATGTATAATTTATTTATTTATTATTATTTATATAATGTCTAGTATTTATGTATTATGTACTTATGTAAACTTAAACTGTGTTTTAATTTTTTCAGGGCCAATTAAAGAAGATTCTAATTTTAAAGACGATGAAGACCCATCTGTTGATTATGTTGACATTATTGGTACTGAAGAACAATTGGTCAGTATTTTATTACGAACTAACCATATTATTAATAATAAAATTCCATTCTTACTAATTGAACGTAATTAAGTACGTAACAACAATTTAAGTTTTTTAATTCGTTTTTAATTAAAAACGTGTAATGTTTTTCGTATCATATATTCTTCAACCATTAACTTACTATGTTTCTATACAACATTAAGTATTATGATAATTAATACCATAAATTAATAAATATTATTGCACAAGTTGGAAATTCAATAAATAACATTGTTAATTTGTTCATTTAATTAAGAACAATCAAGTAGATATTGCTTTTTTTACATAAATTATTTTTACTGCTTAGAAATTTGATCTTTAATTATTAATATTAGTTAAATTTAAGGATCACTTAGTTATTAGCTTGGTTATATACACATAACTACATTAATATTTATATGAATATAATTTATTTGTCGAATACTAAAAGTTTGAAAGATTACAATTTATTATTGCTGCACTTTAATTTTAAGAATTTTATCAATGGAATAATGAAAAACTTCTAATCTGGAAGTGGCGGTTAAATCACTGATAATATTATTTTATTGTTATTAAATTATTGCATTGCTTTTGTTATCTTTGTCTTGTACTCTGCTAAAATCATAATAAAAAAAAAGATCAATAAATGATTCACCTTTTTAGACAGGTACTTATGAATGACACATTATTATAATAAAAATCATTACAATTTATACTAAAACAAAACAATTTCATTTATACATTTTAGTATTGAAGATTAACTTTAGTTTTTCTTTTTAATACATAAACTGGTAAAACAAAAAAAAAATTATAAAAAAAGATCCGATAACTGGTGGTGATAGATATAATACGTAGGTATAATTCAATACTTAAACAGGTTTGGTACCATCAATTTTGAGGTTAGTGGGTCATCGCTCATCAGTCATCTCCATCCCTGTTTTGGGGTAATAAATAAATCGGTTTCTGTTAGTAGTGTTAGTACAGTTAAAAGTTTTCTCGGATGAAACAAAATTACACTCATACTTTATCAAACTATGTTCTCAGTGTTAGTTCTAACGTTTGGTGTACTTATAAAATATTCGTAATTTGTTTACTCTATCTGCTATGCCAAGTTACAGTGTACTACTTGATTGGTAGTATTTTATACTATTGGTATTTGTTGCATGTTGTACGTAGATAATACGATCGGTGCTGATGTCAAATATTCATTACTTATCAATAATTACATGCCGTGTAAACGGCCATAAGTCCGCTTTTACAGTCGTAGAATTATTTGTCACTTATGCAGTTGTGCGTTTCCGAAGATTGTTGGTTTCACTGGTTAAGGGAGCTTGTAATATACTTGACATATAAGCCAGTCGTCAAGTCGTATAATAAATGGCCGTCGGAGATGATATAAAGCTTTCAAAATGAAGTGAATATATAAGGATACTTCCACCCGAACATTTTTTCGTAAATTATTCACCAATTGTATTATTGATATACTTTCCTCATGACACATGGCACAAATATGAATATCAGTCGTGGGAACAAGAAATATTTTTTGTTAACGTGGGATGAGTAATATTACTTTGTTAAAAATTGTAAATATACTATTCAACTATTATGTTCTTGATTGGGATTCGGTCACTCGTGTGGGGAAACTGTAAATCAATAGCAAGCAACAGCAGGTAGAAATTACTAAAAAAAAATAACTTATTATAATTGATTTGTAGCGAGTACCTACTTTAAAAATATATTAATTATGCTATACAGTGTGTTCGACGATAAAGATATTAGGTAACACAAAATATTTCGGCGCATGTCCATGAATTAAGTTTTGTAGTTTTAGTAACGTCCCACTTATTTTTGAAAAATTCTAAAATTCCGTAGGTGAAGCATGGGTCCCCTTAAATACGCTCATGTGTACTTATTTTTACCACCTTGGTTGCTATTAAACTGTTAAAGAGACAAAGATAAAAATTATGTTGAAGTTCAAACATGTATAATTATAGTTAATTTTCTGAAACTGGGTATTGGTGACGTGTACATATCATGTTTTAATGTTATATATTATAATATGTAAAGGCTTGTGATATGATACTTGTGTATATAATATAGTAAAAATATTCTTTCCTTGAATGAATTATTTTTAACCTACTTGAATTTTTTCCTTTGAGAGGATACCATAATTGAATTATACTCGTAGACAATGTGTCTATCGTAAGTCTAAACGTAAATCTTTTGCATTTCTACTTATTTATTTGTATCTTATATTATATAGCATCGGTAGATTAGCAAATAATATAAATAAGTTTGCCACAGGATGTGGTCAATTTCATTAAATTAGAATTTAAAGCTTCAAGGTTTAGGTATTCAGTTGCAATAGACTGAGGTTTTAAAATATAATTGAAGGACATTTATTTTGCAATGATTGTGAATTGTGATAACTGATAGTCCTAACCTAACCCTAGAAAAATGAAAAATTATTATATTATTTTTATTGCATGATACTAATTATTCGTACTTTGTAAGACTGAGATGGTTTTACTTTAAAATAACCCGTTATGAATATCCCCAACAAAATATCTCGAGACCAAATTATCCCTGAGAAAATATTCCATGACAACATTCAAAATATTTTTAAACTGAATAATATTTGTTGCTGAGAAATAACATTGTATATAAATAATTCCCATTTAAAAATTTATTTATGTAATATTATTTCATAAGTATTTCAAATTATTTTTAAATGTTCAAAAAGAATGTGCAATTTAAAAATTAATGGATATTATTAAGTAAATTGAATGAAGTGAAATCGGTTATAAAAACTGTTATTACTCGTGTGACACACGTACCAATGTACCATTATCAAAATATATAACGATTAAACACATAACTTTAAATATAGTGCGTATGTTATAATTATAATCAAACTTTTTTAATAATTTAATAATAAGTTTTAAATTAATATTTAAGGCGCGATATCTTGTTATCGAATATTTTGCCGGGGATATTTTGCTTTTAGGATATTATTTTATTGGTAATATCTTTACCGGGACATTTTGACGTGTCACCAACTGTATTAATACAATGGTGTCCTCTTAATGTCCATCTTTCAAATATTTTCGGTACATACGAGAAATTTTTTAATAATTTATCCAAGTATCTTATTTTTTTGTTAAATACAAAATAATCCGATCTATTGATTTTTCCATTAAAGGCTTTAATTATTATTGATATCAATAATTTAAAAAAATACTTAAATATTCTTGTCATGTTTTTATTGTGAAAATGTTGTTTTGGCGTAGTCTTGTTATGCGTCAATGAATTTAAAATTAGTGTAACCCAATTATTTGTATTTGTTGTCCGGTAATGAAATTAGAATAGTTGGCATTTAATATTCGTATTATAAAGATATGCTATTCATTTTTTTTTTTTTGACGTCTTACTCTTATGTTTTGTGTTACCGTTTATAATTTGAACACATGTGACGTAAGGATAATGTTGAATATATTAAAATTAATTTTATTATTTTCTTCATTAATTAGTTTGAGAAAAACGCTATACTGCTATAGTTTTTTTTATAGTTCATGTTTAGTATTATGGTGATTTATTACGATAAAAGTAAGTTGAACAATAAAATTATGGATCGTAGTTATTTAAAATACAATGCTATGTATTTTATAATGTAGTTACAAATAATACAATAATTTAATATGTGATGTTTGAATTATTTAAATTTAAATTATTAAAACAGAATGTTCTATTATTTTAAATTTGACTGCACTACAAAAAAGTTTACCCCAAAATTATTGAGGGAAGTGTAGCGAGTGTAAAGAGATGAGTGATAATATTTTATGTACAAAAACAAAGAGACAGACAATCGAGAATGGATGTGACAACACTAGAAAGGTCACATTCCAATGGGCACTTGACCAAAACGAAAGCTGAAAAAAGAGAATATGCCGTGAGGACAAAATAAATAACTGGATCTAAAATAACGACTTCGAGCGGAGCTGAGCTAATCTAATCCCTAATAGCACTCGTTTTTTTTTTTTAAATTTTTGGTTCCTAGTTCACATCAAATGTTAAGATAAAGTTTTAAGAAAATCAAGAAATGATGCCTTTAAATGATTTCCTATCCCTGAAAATGTTACATGAAATTTTTGGAGCATTTTCATTATCCAAACAAATGTCCATTAAAAAAAGAAATGTTTAAATATAATAATATGAAATAATATATCTTACTTTGTTTATAATCTAGGTATACATAGGTGTATTATATTAGTAATTATATTAGAACATATTGTATTGTATAATTGGGTATATATTTATTTTACAGGAGTTACACGGCTACCGGCGACACATGGGTTACACAATTATGTCTTGGGTAGTGACAATCATAACATGTGGCGCTCTTCGTTTAATTTTTTACTGGTGGCCAACATTAATGTTGTTTTCAACCCATATGAAATGTTCATTGCAATCTGCCGAAAAAATTTTAGTGGTGGTATGTTCATGTTTTGTTATTTGTTAATATATT